GAGCGGATGGGACGCTGTCTCTGCCAAACGAGTCAATTCCATCAGTTTGTGTCTCTGAAGCCTCAGCCGGATAATCCGGCAGCCACGTCGCCAAGTTCTAGCTCCCCTGCAATTGTGCCCAAAGGTCTGCGGTCAGTAAGAGCCTCACACACCTCCCACTCCTGTCCAGCGCGCATAGACTCCCTCCGCTACCTCTGAGCTGAGCCGTCTACTCCCCTGCTCAGGCGAACGCAAGGCCAACCCTGCTCCTCTTAGCCAATAGAAAGCTCCGTGAAGGGGTCCTTGGCCCATACCACGCCCCCAGAACAGGAAGGGGGCGGAGTTTCAGGGACCTCTTAAGGACGCTGCGCTCTGGATGGCAGCGATAGCAGTGTGAGGCTTATGCGGTTAGAGGCTTATGCGGTTATCGTTGGGTACTGCCTAGTCCTGTCCCCAGAGCGCTCATCCCGTAGGAAGTTGGTGCTCTTCTAGAGCCACTGGCCTGCTCTTCTCCCCGGATGTTTGGTCAACATCCTGGCCTACTGACCTGCGCCAGACAGGTCTTATCCGAACTACCCCAGGAAAGTACTTCTATTATCTTTTCACACACACACATCCCTGAAGTCCTGGTCTGTGCCCAAGTCCGTGGCAAGGATAACCTGCTTGCTTCCTGTTCCCGCTCACGTAGGGCTCTGGTAGGGCTTCTACTTTGGCAATAAGGTGTACAGTGGCATTTGGGCCTGGAATTCCCAACATAGAAAGTGGCTATGGTGAGTGGTGGAAACTCAGAGGGGTTTTCAGAGGGAAGGCGAGTTCTTTGCCCCTGGAGATAAGACTTTCAGGATCTCATCTTTGCGGAGAGCCCTCTGGGATCCCTGGAACCCAGATTTAGAGTCTTATGTCTGAGGGCGTGGGCAAAGCCCCGGGAAGGTAAGCAGGAATAGGAGGGTACATTCATAAAGAAAGACACCTCGAAGGCAAAGCGCCTTTTGAAAAAGCAGAAGCAGGAGCCAAGGCCTGGAGACGCTGGACTCTAGCCCCTCCCGGCCCGCCATCTGGGTCTTTGTCTCCCAGCCCTGGCCCATTCCTCCGCCCCTCCTCTCTTACTTCCTTATATCTTGGCTCCATCCCATAGCTCAGGCCCTCCAGGACCGACCCGCCTGTCCTATTCAGAGCCCAGCAAACGTACCCATATGCTTATGTCTCCCTCTTCTGGTCTTCCATAGCACTGCAGGCGCCTAGGCCGAGCTGGAAGTTCCCACCGGAACAGGAGCTTGGCATACACAAGCCTGGCACACGTGCTTGAACACAAAACCTGGTACGGGCGTGTTCTGGACAAGAACCGGGGTCATGCGTGAGGAGAAAGAAAAAGAACTAGGAGAAAGATCAAGGTCTGGGGTTGACTGCCAAGGATATAGAGTCTCCTTGCTGTTTCTTTATGGAGCACATTCCCTGAGGTAGTCTACCAATGTCATGTCCATTAGCTCACTTAAATACGAGGGTGAGCTGCTAAATTTCTCACTGGATCCTCTGATGACCACTCTGGCTGGAGAATGGACCTTTTGGAGGCTGCAATGGATCTGAGTAGATAGGGAAGAGGAGTAGCCGTCTGGGTTTCTCAGTTCCAGGCTGGACCCCATATTCAGATGTAAGCAAGGGAGATGAGAACAAGGTGCAAGGACACATGGGTTTCTAGCTGGAAGACTAGGATCCCTAAAGTGCATGTCAGGACATCATAACCTGAAGATGAAAAGGAGCCTTCTATTTACCAAGTGCTTACTATGTGCCACCACCACTCTTCTGTCTGTTGTACTGTGGTAGTTTGCATGTTGCTGTAATGCTGGAAGCTATGCCAGTGGTATTTCAAATACCAGGGGTCACCCATAGTGGACAAGTTTCAGTGGAGCTTCCAGACTAAGACAAACTAAGAAAATGATATGATCAGGCCCACTTCTGAAAAAAATTTGCCATTGAAAACCTCATGAATAGCAAGGAAACATTGTTTCACATAGTGCCAGAAGATGACTCCCTCAGATTGAAAGACACTCAAAATACAACTGAGGAAGAGCTACCTCCTCAAATGATGTGGATGTGTCAACCTTAATGATGTGGATGTAGTACAACTTTTGGGACCTTAAACTGCTGATGTGACATGACTCAAAATGAGAAGAAATAGCTGCAATCATCTATTAATAATTGGAACATGGAATGTACAAAGTATGAATCTGGGAAAATTGAAAGTTGTAAAAAACAAAATGGGACACATAAAGATCAATATCCTAGGCATTAGTGAGCTGAAATGGACTGACATTGACCATTTTGAATTAGACAATGATATGCTCTACTAAGCCTGGAATAACAAATTGAAGACGGATGGTGTCAGTTTCATTGTCAAAAAGAACATTACAAGATCTATCATGAACTACAATGCTGTCAGTGATAAGATAATATCCATATGCCTACCAGAAAGACCAGTTAATATAACTGTTATTCAAATTTAGGCACCAACCACAAAAGCCAAAGATGAAGAAATTGAAGATTTTTACCACCTTCTGCTGTTTGAAATTAACCAAACATGCAATCAAGATGTATTGATAATTACTGGTGGTTGAAATGTGAAAGTTGGAAACAAGAAGGATTGGTAGTTGGAAAATATGGCCTTAGTGATAGAAATGATGCTGAAGATCACATGATAGAATTTTGCAAGACCAATGACTTATTCATTGCAAATACTTTTTTTCAATAACATGAATGATGGCTATATACCTGGACCTCACCAGATTGGATACACAGCAATCAAATAGACTACATCTGTAGAAAGAGATGATGGAGAATCTCAATATCATCACTCACAACAAGCCCAAGGGCTGACTATGGAAAAGAGCATCAAATGCTCATATGCAAGGTTAAGTTGAAGCTGAAGAAAATTAATCCATGAGAGCCAAAATATGACCTTGAGTATATGCCACCTGAATTTGGAGACCATCTGAAGAATAGATTTGATGCATTGAACACCAGATGAGTTGTGGGATAACATCATGAACATCATACATGAATAAAGCAAAAGATCATTAAAAATACAGGAAAGGAATAAAAGACCAAAATGGATGTTGGAAGAGACTCTGAAGCTTGCTCTTGAGTGGAGAGTAGCTAAAGTGAATGGAAGAAATGATGAAGTAAAAGATTCGAATGGGAGATTTCAAATGACAACTTGAGTAAGCAAAGTA